ATGACGAGACGTCAACGACATCAACCTCCACGCTGAATATCCGCCACTGATGAATGGTTCTCTTTTCTTTCAAGCTTACAGACATCTCTATGCGACGGCCATCGGCATATGTGTACATCATCCTATCCGAACTCATCTGCCAACGCCTTTCTTGCAATAAACCCCAAGCCGTCTGCATGTCATACTCAGCACTGATTTCTGAAGGGACGTAGACGGTCGCTAGATTGAGGCTCATTTCGAGGTGAACAATGAAAGCTACATCTGGGTGGGTATGCCGACAAGAATAGGCCAAGGATATTACATGGATCGGTGGGTCGTTCCAAAGGCGAGTGTAGGTTCGAGAATCTGCTTGCCAATTGGTCCCATCCCTCTTTTTGGGTTCTCTTCCACCGAGCTGTGGATAGTCGTCACCATACCATCCTTCTACATGGACCAGGCAGAGTCCCACAGCTGATATCCTCGTCTTCTCGTCAATTAAGTAAGACCTGTTATATAGACTTGGCCCAGCAGGGTTTTGCTGAATGTATGGAACTATGGTAATTTGCTGGAAATCTGTGCTTGCAAGTGCATCGCGGCTGCTTACAAGCACAGTCCTTGAATAGGTTGAGTGTAGAGGAATCGATCGCCGTACCACATGGCGTGGAAAGGTGGGGTACATGGTCCATTCCTTGGGAGAGAGCAAGATGCCAACCATATGAGAACTCTTGTTTGTTCGCAGCGAACAACTGAGAAGGCCGATCAACAGCCTCTCAGCTATTCGAGCTCCTGTGGCAACGTGCATTGAGAGAAGCGGCAGGCGAATAGTGATACCCAGATTGTCAAGAGTCAATAGTGGTCCTGGAACAGGCGCCAGTTCCAGAGCCACGCAATTCTTAAATTCGAACGGCGACTTCGCCAGCACTAAACCAGTGATTCTCGGCGGATTGTGTTGTGGAGCTGTCCCGTCCGCAGAAGATATTGCTCCCTCGGTGTCTAGGCCCCATGCTAGAATGGAATCATCGTTGTTCAGTTTCCTAATAATCTCTTCCTGCAGACGCACAAACGCCTTCTCGCCTTCGCCGTAAAGCAAGGGCATATTGATACCGAACATCCCCATAAGGCAGTACGCCTCGTCCTCTTTCCGGGTTGTTTTGCGGTATGATGCCCATGACATCTTCTTCGCTATACAAAAGCTGTCAAGTCTGTTTCCCAATTGGCCCAAACGGTCTCTTTTGATTTCACTCAGGACCGTTGAGTCGATCCGCGTGATTTGCCCTATCAACTCTGATAAGTTACTGCGACGTCCAAACTCCGTCCAGTTTCGGTCGTAGAAGATCACTTCCGCGGGTGCGATTAGCTCTTGCAAAGTCCAGCCGCGGGTAAACCATCGGCTTCCTGGAAGTTCTCCTTCGAGTCCAATTGCCGAAACATCCACTAGGAAAGCGTAACATATGCAAGAACGCGAATACCAATTGAACATGGAGTTGATAGCTTCTGATAGTTCCGCGCTTGATGTCTTGTCAATGCAGCACGTGTCCACCCATGCATATTGTAGCCCGTCGTGTAACGCTTGTTCACAGGTATGTTTGATCTTCAGATACCCAGCTTTCTTTGCTGTTGAAGGTTGATACAGAGGCAAGTCGGAAAACGACACCTCTTCGCGGCCCCATGTGTGAGATAAGATGGCGTAGTCCGGGATGTCGGCGCCGAAGTATTCCTCTAGCTCAAGAGTTTTGCAGTTTATGAGACGCATAGCTGAGGTATATATGTGGTGCGTATCATTTGCATGTGGTGATTGAGGAAGAGTTGGGTGGACGGTACGATAGGAAAGATATCAGGCTGAGACTTCCCCGCTCTGACGCCTGTCAGGCTGAATAAGACGATCACATGCTCCATACTCACGCATGCATCGACCTCTGAAGTGACCGTAAGCAAGGGACCGGAACTGCCGCAATTTATCCATCAATGTCGAATGGGTACTCTACACTACAGTCAGTCGTGACGTGTTCACTTGTTCGTCCCATTTGGGTATAGCGTCGTCCTTTGCTTATGTCACCCAGGAAAGATAGTTCTAGGAGCACTACGAGTAGTAGAGTTCTAACACATCTCATGCGGCAGTAAAGCGATAGAATTAACTCGATATGCCTACGATGAGATGTACAGTGACCGAGAGTTGGCCAAATCGCGATGATGTGGGCGACATTGGCTGTTCCCGCGGTGAAGGTGAAAGCTGTATGTGATCGTGTCTATCGTCATGGGCTTATTGCAAAGCCAGACTTTGGCCATGACTATGATGAGAGAGCTCCAGTCACTTCGAATAGACACAGCCGAATTCATGAAAGCTATTGTAGTCCTTGTGGTCGCGGTGTTAGTAAGGTATTGCGCTCTTCACCCCCTTCCAGACAATAGAGACTTTCGTATTGTCGCAACGTACAGCAGTCAGTAGCACATATTGCAGTTCTCAGCCAGCATATAAAGTCAACCTCCTGCTCTTAACTTGCTCATCCATCTCACACTCTCCTTATAACGACATACGAACCCTCAAAACAAACTGACATGTCGTCTACTTTCCTCTTCTTTGCGCTGGCCGCAATCATGTTCTTCGCTCTCCAGGTCGCAACTTCGTTCGGCCTTCTGGATTTCCTCCCAGCCGCGCTGGAGGATGGGGCTGGTCCCCATTTATCCGTTGGGGCATGGTTTTTCGCCGGCTGCTGTGTCCTTCGATCCTCGCCGCCCGCCTGCCGTGCCCTCTCTTCCTCTGTCGGGACTCTCGCCGCGCTGGTTCGTGAGCTTGCTGTCCTCTCTCGCGACACGACGATAGCGGCCCTGAAAGCTCAAGTGCTGGCATTTGAGCAGAATTCGGGTGCCGCTTACGTCCCCCCTCCCGGTAAGCAGTCGCTGGTCGACTGTGAGGCCACCATCGAAACGCTCCGGCGCCAGATCAATAAGTTGACTGGCAAAGTCGCCATGTATGAGCGACACTACAACGTCACCGCCGTTGACGCCGACCGCCTCACCTCCCACCAAACCATCGCCAAGCTGAAGCTGGAGCTTCAGTCGAAGTGCGACGAAATTTCCCGGCTGAAAGATGCCATTATCCACAAGCGCAACGACACAACGGTGTCGACCCTTCTCTGCGAGCGGAACCGGCTGGAGGTGGCCCTTGAGGGCAAGAGGAAGAGGGTGAACGAGCTGGAGCCGATCGCTCTTCAGCACGGCCGCGATATGTACCAGCGCGACGCCCAGGTCGCCATATTCAACGCCCTCAAGGAGTATATCCACCGGATGGTGGAGGCGGGAGGTCTTCAGATGACCGTCGTGGTGTTGTTCCTTGGGGCTCTTGCGGGCAATGCTGGCATTGACCTTGCGGAGCTCGGTATCGACGGAACCCAGTTCCAGACTTACTTGGACTACGCCATGGCGGTCTGTGATGGCCTCCCCTGTCCTCTCCTCCCACAAGGTATGTTCTCCTAACATCTCCTCTACTGATTTGAAGACCATTTATTAATCATTGTCTAGGTGGCTTGCGCCTTCATGGCATTCGGTATCCGCTGTCTGGTCTGCGCGTCTTTGGCAACAGGGTTGTCGAGGCTGGCCCAAGTGTCGTCGTCGCTTCTACTCCAGCCATCGTGGCCGCTGCCTCTTCGGTACCCCCCGTCGGCTACAACACCTTCAGTGCCCCTCCTGCTATTATGCAGAACGCACAGAATACCTCCTGCGCGACTCAACGTGTCGCCTCTGCCGCCCCTCCAATTGTGTTTGCCAGCTTCACAGCCCCCTCCAAGTCTCCTCCAGCAAAGCCATGTCCGGCGAAGACCTCCGCGCCTACTCTACCGGATCCCGTTCCCGTGGCTCCCTCCCAGCCCGCCACAAATGAGACGAGACGGATGAGCTTCCAGCCAAGCAAGAGGCCGGGTACCTTTGGTGTAGGTGTCGGCGGGATTGGAAAGACGAGTGCGGCTCCGAGGAGGTCTTGAGCGCGTCGGGTTTGGGGGTTGGAGCAGAAGCGTGCTTATGCGCTGGTGGACGTGTCGGTCGTATGTATTTCGGGTGATGGGCGTGGTTCGATACTTTCAATAGAACCTGTTCAAATGCGCCAGATATCTCCTTTGTGTCTAAAGTGACCCAATAAGCAGGCTTTCTTACTTTGAGCAACCATTTCTCGTGTGTTGTCTTGATTCAGACCTGGGACTGCTCGACGATGCGAGGTGTTGCTGTCGGGGCCAAGTGGGCGCAGGTGGTCAGAAAGCTGAGGGCGGAATGTCGCGTCATCTTCGCGTCGCGGGACCATCGGAAAGAGACGCGACGCCAAGAAGGTTTGACCAGGATTTTGCCACCCCATCCAATGCCTCGCACCCTGTCGCGAGCTAGATGCGATCTCCACCACGTTATCACTTCTGCGCATACCAGGTATATCATTCGGGTATCATGAGGTTCCTTCTCTTTCAACAGCCAAACCGGATGCAATACGGCCGCCCAACGTGTGGCTGATCGAGTGCGCCTCCATTGGGCAGATACACGAAGGCTTAGCATCCATCTGCAGCTCAACTATGTGCAAGGGCCACGCAACCCCGAGCTACCCTGGGCGTTGTCACTTCATAGATGCTGGCACTGGAAAACACTGCAAGTGGGCGATTGGGTTGACCTGTTCCCTCTGGTGCAGCAGTTACGGTAATCTTCTAGAACCTTCTTTATTAATGGGCCCAGTCAACATTGTGGAGTTTCTGAGACGTAAACATCTGTTTTACCTACCCATTCCACAACTGTTTGGCGACATATTGCAGGAGACTTTGGTTTCCTGACATCTGATTATGGTCTCTTCTCCAAATCGCCATAGAAGCCATGGTATTAGGAGAGATGATTATCTTTCGCGTGTCATAGTCGCTTATCCACCTGTGAGAAAGCGATTCCAGGGAGACGGACAAACCTTTCCAGCTCACTTCCTGTTATACGTCGCCAAATGCCTTTCTTGACCACCACTTCGCAGCTTGGCACACATTCAACTATTTTCCGCACGAGCGATGTCAGAGCCGCCACTCCCTGGAAAACCAGAACCTACGTTTGAAGGTTTACCTCCTGAGATCTGGACGCAGATTTGCCACTCACGGGCGTCGTACGCAGACGGGGAGAGCTTCATCCTTGACCCCATAAGCCTTTCTAGTCTCCGTCTCGCTAGTCGAATCATCCATTCGAAGACCCAAGACGCATTCCTACAGCGTCATCTCTCTTCATCCAAGTTCAGCCTGATGCCATGGAGTCTGGCCATTCTGAAGGACCTATCTGAAAACGAGCATCTGTGCACATACGTGGAAGAGTTGGAGTTCGGCCCGGAGATATTAAACACGAATCTGGATGTGGACCTTCGATATATCAAAGAGCCGTGGGAAGAGCCGTCTATGGGATGTCCACACCCTCAGAGCTACATACACATGGATTCTGCCCGACCTGTATGGCCCATGGTCAAGCTTCCGGAGCCGCTTTGGAAAGGCCTTACTGGAAGAGGTTCAGGATCAGCATTAGTGGTTCGTTGGAATGACCGAGGTGGCTATACCCGCTGGCTTCAAAAGTACGAAGGCACACTCAAAAGACTGGTCGAGCACCAGAACCGCTTTAGCACAGCGGCCAAATACGTTCGAGATGCCATCGGAAAGCTTACGAACTTGAAGAGTATCAAGATCAATCCCCGTCCTATAGGGGCATATTACGAAGAACGATTCGCCAAACCCATACTACGGAGTAGAGGTACCATGTCGCTCTATCGCGCAGTCGGGGCACACGCCATCGAAGTGACTACCGATTTGGCCCCATCTGGTTCGAGAACTCTATTGGAGTTTAGCCTCGATGGCCTTCTCTTCATGGAGTATTACGCCGAGGTCATCATGCTGGAGAATCTCTCGAGAATACTGAGCACGGTTGACTTGGACAAGCTCACAGTCGACCTGACAATCACTGCGGCGAACCTTCCATCGAACGGCAGGATTTATGATCCTGGTCATCAAAGCTGGAGAGCTATAGCTCCTCGGATACGAAGTCTAACCTTCGATTGCGCAATGAGTGATATTGATGGCAGCGAGGTTCCTGCCTTGCTAACATGGATATCGGAGATGATGATCTATGCTACTGCAGTCGAGCACTTCTATGGACGCAGCTGTGACTTTGAGTACCGGATGTTGCGGACTGTCTTTGTGCAGTCTTCCTGGACCAGTCTTCGAACGTTACATCTCTTCCGGTCTCGCAGTCACGGGCGCAATTTGCTTCGGATGCTTCTCCGTCATCGCTCAACATTGGAAGATGTGAGCTTTTCGCATGTCACAGTCACAGGTACGAGCATAGCAGCATGGAGAGACGTATTCGTGGCAATGAAAGACATGCATCGGCTCAGGCGTGTCACGCTTGAACAGCTCGAAATACAAGGCGATCTCGATATGTCTAGCAATGCGCCATACTCATGGGCTCTTAAGCCATTCACATCTGATCGGCTGAAGGCCAAAGGGTACGAGAAGGTTCGCTCGATGCTGGACTTCGTGACGCAGCGCATATTACTTCTTTCGGGTCGAGAGATCACGTTCTGGCAAGTCCATTTCGAGGTTCCTCCATAGAAAATCTTGTGGCACCAACTTCATGAGATTGCGAACTTAGCCGCTTCTACGGATTCCAGAAGTGAAGAAGTACGTTACGAAGCTGCGATTTGAGTTACTTGTTTGGAAGCGCTAGCGGCGCACACTGGGCGAACTCAGGTAGTAAAAGAGGGTCTGACTGTAGCTCCAGTCATGACCTAGGTAATTGTAACTCTCTTGGAATCAAGCCACCCATTCAGAGTCAAATGATGTCGCTAAATGGGTCTTCTGGTACTATAGCAACATGCGATTGTCGACCAAGTGCGTCTAAGTAGAACAACGAGTGCGCGTACATGCGAAGTTTCGGATGCACAGCATGCAGCACGGGACTACCCCTGGTTCTATGCCATGATGACATTGTTACATCACTCGATTCTTCACTCTTACCAATGCAAAACACCAGCTTACGAAAGATAGTAAGCATGATATTGAGACATCAGTCAGTATAACGCAGGTTTTCGCGTGGCCCGCGTATGTTATTCCTGCAGTATGCAGGGGTGACCAAGCTGGTACATATAACTCGACAATGCATCATTATAATACGCTCTACTCATGGTGGGGTCACCATTGACGTGGTAATACTCGAGCTTCTACTGGCATCTCTAGAGATAGGTTACAGGTAGCGACGCCACGAACCCTGGTACCACATACGGGGCCACAGTGCTAAATCGCACCTCATTAGCAACAAACACGGGTCTATAAAGGCACGCGACTTTATCTAACCCCCCGAAAAGTCTTCTTCATTAGCGATTCTAATAGCTTCAACGACATCACAATATTCACGATACAAAACTTCCCGACCAGAAACCCAACATCTGGTAGCAGCATACAGTTATTAATTGCTCGCCATGTCTTCCAGCGCTTCAATCAACTCAGTTGATTCTCTCGAGGAACTCTATGGCACCAACACAGCTACCGTATCGCATGTTGTTGAAACGCCCATGGAAGAGGTCCGACGCTTCTTCTTGGGCAAAAGCCATACCCAGATATTGCAGTATGGCCTCGGTATGGAGATACCCGGCGCACCACCACTAGCGGCGCATACCATCGTTGTCACCATGGATTGCGAAATGCACGAGATAGAGCCACGAGTGCTGACAGAATATGGGCTCAATACATTTTCGCGGAAAGAGATGGCGCCAGTTCTCGAGAATCCCGGTATACATGGAGAAAACGTCTTACAGAACATCTACTATTACCACATTCGTATACGCGAGAACGCACACCTTATCAACTGGAGGTTCGTCCGAGGAAACCCCGAAAGAAACCACTTCGGCTCAACGCGCTTTGCCACGAAGGAAGACGCAAAAGAGTTCCTGATCGAAACACTCGCGTGGCCTATTGATGATGACAAAGAGGATGGTCCTAAATGCCCAGTCATATTTCTCGGCCACTCAGTCAAGAACGACCTTCGGATGCTGCAAGAAGAGCTTGGTATCGACACCAAATTCGACAGCAACGTTGTCGCTATCATCGACACCCAGAAAATCGCGAACGAGCAGGGTATTCGTGGAAAGGGCCAGAAAAAGGGCCAGCAAATCGCACTAAAAACTTTGATCCCACACTTTGGCGTGGAGTTTCGCGATGGTCATACAGCCAGTAACGATGCGGCATATACCATCATCAGTGCCGTACAGATGGTCTTGAAGAATTCCCTGCCGACCGACCCAACCCGCTCGCTGCAGGACGTTGTGGACGGTGTCTCTGAGGATAGTAAAGGGACTGTTGTGGCATTTGGGGTGCCTAGATGGTGCACTGAATGTAAGGTTGCCAGCCATCTTGTTCAGCCAGGATGCGGGAAAAAGTTCATTGAGATAGAAAGAGGGATGAGGAGTAAGCCTTCTAAGCGGTCATGATCGCGCTGCTTGCACGCGTCCTATGATCCTATGTTTACCGATGGGGTGTTGGTGGAGGCGTGGTGGTGGGCTGACGGGCATTAACCTCCCTATTTCTTCAAGATGTCGCTTAGTAGTCACTTCAGTTCAGCAAGCTGTATTATTTGTATCGCAGTGTATAGTATTGACACCTCGCTACATCTCGAATATCACCGCATCCACATGCTAGCCTCAACACCAACCGCGCGATCACTCCACCACCATTCTCATACCATTGTTATCCGATCTAGCAGCACCTCCCCTTCTTCCCAGCTCCATTCCAATAAGTAGTCGTCACATAGCCTCCTTGGTCGTTCCGCTTCTTCTCTTTAGGCCAGCAGCACGCCATGCAGACGAGGATGAAGAAGAGAAGCGCAACTGTGGCTGCGAGGCCGATCATGATGGCTTTGCCGTGAATGCCGAAGTAGACATACTCGTTGGGATTGGTGGAAGCGGCGCTTTCGGCTGGTGCAGTGGAGGCTGCGATAAGAGAGGTGGTGAGTGTTGTGGTTGCCATGATTGGATTTTGTTGGATTGCTGTGATCTTTGGTGTTAGTTATCATGGCTATAGACTGAGAACGAGATAGCACTCACTTACAACGTTCTTGAGCTAATGCGTGCCAACTGTTTGGTGTTTTTGAGGCTAGCTGAGCGTTAGGGCGTATGGTTTGAGCTGTCAGTACCTGGGTACGCATAGAGCCACAGCGTGCTTTTATCCGTAAACTCAAAGGCTTCTGCGCACGGTATCCTCTCACGACTTCCACTTTGACACAGTCAAAGGTCTCCCCAATATTCTGTCTCAACGTACACAACATACAGAGCTCGCTTATTGAAACTCGCTGTTTACACAACTTCTCGTGGGAAGCAACAATCTTTTGGAATAACATGCGGCGCTCCTTCCAAACGGGTCACTTTGTGCATGTATACCAATCCATAGCCACGAAGAGGCCGGTCTCAGCGCTTTCTAATCTCCCAACGAGCTGAGAAAATGCCCGATAGGGCTGAACGACCGACCCGTCAATACTTACACTAACGGAACCTGCATGGAAGGTTGGTAGAAGGCCCAGAAATGGTGGGAAGAAGGTGGTGTGACCTTAGTCCTAGTGAAGAAGAGTGGAAAGGCAGTGTAAATCATTGAGCAGAACAACACTCAATATATTTCAGAGTGAGCTAGTTATCCAACGGCGTTTCTCGATCCTATGTCAGGCTTCGTTGCGTCCTTCTTGTCCTGATCTGTAACGATTCTGCCTTGCGACAACATTGTTCCACGATCCAATAAGACGGATGTCACTTCACGAAATGTTACGCGAACGTGGCACTGCAACGGCGATGCATGTTCGTACATAGCGCCGGTGAAACGGACCTTTACAGGCACTGCAGTCATGATGCTTACTGGACGTACCCTTGTCCATACATGCTTTTGAAATGGATAGTATAACGAGAACTTAAATGAACATTCATCGCGAACTTGAAGTCTAACGGCGGATTAAATTCTGTGGCTTGCCGTATAATATCGCTCTTCATTACAAACTACCTTTAATCGTACATTAACTGTCTAACTACCTTCGGTTCACCTCAGGTAGCGCAAGATCAGAAGTTCGTAGAAACCCCAGGTCGATGTCCTCTATGCATATCCGAATCGTCGATCTCCACAACACCATCCGGCACATCTCCCTTGCTCCTCGAATCTATCTGCGGCGGAAGCAGAGGCTCATTGTGCAACTCAGCCGCTCCGTGACGCACACCGTGAAAGCTATCAGTACCAAGCTCGCTCATTGGACTCATGGTACCCGCGCCATGTAGCTCAGCCGAGCGCGTGGAGCGCAGAGGTGCATGGGTATCGAGCTCACTCACTGGACTTCTCATTCCCTCGCTGCGGAGATCAGCGCTGCTAAGTCTGATCGTGGGTGCGCCGGAAGGCGAGTTTGCATGCCAGCCTTGCATTGTCGAAGCTTGAGAGATGGGTGACGTGGGTGACGGCATGCTTGTCACCGCGTGTGAACTCAGCTCAGGGTATCGAGAGTCCATGTTGCTGCCATGACGATGCGGGTCAGGTCTTTGTGCTGATTGATAGTATCGCGAACTCTCATTGCCTCCACCACTCATTTCTGGTGGCATGTAGTAGCCAGTTTGGGGACGTGGTGATGACATATCCTCGCTGTGTAGTTCGGCTTTCGAGCGCTGACGCACGGGTACACCGGCTCCCATCTCCGAGTATCGACCGAAGCTCGAATCGTTTTGTACGTTTGGTAACTTAGGCTTCGGGCTGGTGTTGCGAGAGGGCTCCCATATATCTGCTGGTGACGCGAGTGAAGATTGGCGTTTGCGACGACGCATAAAGAGGAATATGAGGCCGATGATGAGCGCAATACCTACGGTACCGCCTGCTGCTGTGCCAGCGATAGCGGTGGTACTGAGTGTAGGACCAGCAGCGGCAGTGGCGGTAGATTGAGGTGCGCCGTTCGAGGTCGCAGTGACAGTGACGTGTGAGTGGACAGTCACACCATCCTGTCCCTTCGACCTAGATTGTGCAAGACCAGTGTCGTTCGGGAGCGGCGCCGGCCGAACTGATGTCGTCCCTCCTTCTGTTGTGGAGCTTGGTGGCGTTGAAGTCGCTGACAGTGATGGCTGGGAAGATGCGTCTGCCGACTGTCCTGTGTCTGTAGAAGTAGCAACCGATGTTATTGGAACTCCACTGACGGTACTATCCGTTAGATCAATGGGTGTATCCCCTTCCGATTTTGTTGACGCGTGTGGATCACTGGTAGATGATAGCACAGTCACAGTAATTTTCGCAGTACTACTCGATGTTGTGTCCTTAAGCAAGTCCTTGTAGTTAAAATAGTCCTCGCTAGATATGAATCTGACATCTTTATCCTCGCACGCTGCGAAGAATAGATTCACATAGTCTGCGGTCTCTTATTAGTATATCTGGATCAAGTGTGTCGCGCACATTAGAGACTTACCTTGTCGGTCTGTCAAGCTTTGACATGCACCGAGAATACACGGACCAAACGTGTTGAAGTGTATGGGGATAACGTCTGGAAGGCTACAAAAGCCAGCGAGGTTATCGGCGCAATTGCCATCGAGAAACTTGCCTTTGCCGAC